AGCCCTCCTGAGGCTTCCGGCTGCTTCTTGCCAGGTCTTTCCCAACCCCTTCCCTCGGTTCTCCGGTGGGGTGCTCTGGCGCCGGGGGATGCTGCTGGCTTCAGCGCTGGCGTAGTTACTGGAGCGGAGGTGCAGGGAGCTGTTTGCACCGACGCTCCAGGCATTCCTCAGGATTTATGGATAACACGGAGTCAAGCAATATCTATGATTAGTTGAAATCGTTATTCTTAGAACTGTGTTTCTTTGCTTTATCAACAGATTTCATCTGTTGTGCATTTGCTTGGTCTCTGAACTCCCTCTCCCTTCTCTGGGCTAAGCCGAGGCGTTTCGGGAGCACGGGATGTGCTGCCCGCTCCGTGCTCAGCCCGGGATACGCGGCATCCATCCACTTCAGTGCTGGCACGGTGTGTGTATGCAAGGCAGAGTGTGAAAGGAGGTACGAGACTGACGTGGCCAATGATGGGACGAAGGGAGAACAGACTCTTCTTTCCCGTCCTCCTGGTTGCTTTCCCAGAGTTACGAAAGCCTCCGGCATGCCGGGCCATGCCCCACCACCCAGAAACCCCTCAGCCCACGGGCTGATCTAGGCACACACGTGCATTTCCATTGCTCTTGCAGAGCCCTGCCAAAGCAAAATTCCTCAAGTGGAATTACTAGTGTGGAGTATTTTCAAATCCAGAAATCATTGAGCTGTCCCTCTTACCAAATGGCAGTCAACGATGTTCTTTGAGCCCCATGTTATAATCTTTAATTCACTAGCTGCCACAGGAAAGCCTTTTCAATTGCTTTAAATGACCAAAGATATTTTAATGTGCCTCAGGTTTTGCACTGATATGCAACAGAATGAAGTGCCATGCACATTTTGGGTGACTTTAAAAATTAGCCCAGTTAAAAAACAGAAGAAGGAAAAGGAGGTGTCACACATTCCACTAGTGTTTGTAGCCTCACAGGCAACTTTTCCGGATTTTCAAATCCTCCGCCTCCCTCTTTGCAAGGTGATGGCCCCACAAAAGCAGCAGAAATCTTTAATATCTGTTGACAACTATGTTAAATCAATTACATGAACATTCACAAACAGAAGACAAACCTCAGTGTCCCCATACCTATAGCCACCAGCATGGTGCTCACCCTTCTTGGATGAACAAACCTGGAAGAATCCAGGCTCCTGCTTGCTGTTCCATGCAATAGGGCAATGGTTAATCAGGAGCTCTGCCCTGGTTTTCACATCTGCATACTCAGAGGCTGGTGATTTATTACAGTTTCTTATTGTTTTTATATATATGGATTTCTTTCTTTTTTCTTTGGACCTTTTCCTGCTCTGTGAGGTCAGAGGCACAAGGGCAGTGAGTCTGCATCTCTGCACCAGGGAGAGGGGGAGAAAGGAGAATATCTTTTAAATACAGTTCTACTTTATTAAGATTCACTCTGGTATGACAATGGCTTTTTCTATTGAAATGCTTTGTGAAAGCCCAGCCTAATGATCTGTTAATCGGAGAAAGGTTAAGTTCCTGGAGGATTTTCTGTATTTGATGAAGAAAAAATAGAGCAATTATCTGGAATTCAAAGTGATTTTTAGCCAGCTGTTAATAATACCACGATTCTTCATTTTTTTCATTACTTAGAAGTAGTGCAGCCATCGCTAGTTATAGCAGTAAAATATTTATAACATTCTCTTTTGGCCCAGTTTGCACTTCTGGAGTGGCTGGACATTGCCCAAGGTCTTCTAAATATGCTTCTTTTTGTGCTTTACCCTTCCATGGCAGATCTTTCTGAGAGCTGTTCCAGCTAAAGGAGACCAAATGGAGCTGACACCTGAGTGACGACTGGAACAGGCTTGGGGGAACCTCTCTCCAAGGGTGCTCTGCATAACAACCCAGTGTGACATGGGGTTAGGTACAGAGGCACTTTTACCCCCTTGCGGTCTTGTTGCAGTTTGCAGGTCACTTGGCGTGCTGGAAGATGGCTGGAAATGTGCAGCTCTGAGACATCTGTGCCTTTCTCCTGGCTCTTTCCTCTGATTACAGAGGTTTCTAGCTTGAAAAGCTGCAGGAGAACGCGAAATGCACATGGCATCTCTGTGTCCAGGTGCATGGAATGGGGAAAATATAGCTTTTCCGTGGCAGCCCTGTGCTGGGATAAGCAGACAGGCTGTTTTCCTCCAATAGGTGCATGGAAAATTGATTCTCAGTCCACTGCAGAGAATCCTACACATGAACAAAATCCCCGCGTGTAGTACTGAAGTACTAGAACTGTTTTATACTAGCAAAAAGGTTTCATTCCTATAAGGGAAACTGCAGGTAGCACTTTTTTGCTGTCTTCGGGTTGTCATTTAGGCTTCTACCTTATTCTCTTTACAGGGTTATCATTTCAAGTACAGCTTTTTGCCTGGAGGTCTAAAGTAAATGAGTATTAAGTAACTGTATCTGTCTCTAATCCACTAATCATCTGGAAAACCAGCTAATGTGCCTGAACCAGTGGGATGAATACATTAGATTAATCTAACTCAGATATTTTTCACTGAAACATCCAGTAATATTTAGAGAAAGGTTGTGAAAAGATTAGGAGCTTCTTTTTCCACCTTTCTACTTTCTTCTGCTTTTTGTGATGTTGCTGCATTCCAGTAAATGTTGACTACTCCGTTAACATATTGCATTAACCCTCCTGAAACGCTGCTTTAAGAACAACTTTACTTTTCCCCAACCTGGCAGTGCAGATGTGCAGAGGAGAGAGCCGGGCTCCCTGCCGTCCCCTTGCTGGGTGCACTGGGGCTGCAGAGCTGCAGCTGGTCCTGCACCCTGCCAGCGTGGAGAGCAGCATGTTCCCCTCTTTGTCTCCATGTGCGGGGAGGTGTCTTCATCCTCTTGCTCCTTGTCCTGCTCCTTTCCATCTGTTGTCGCCTGCTGAAGCCACTAGTTGTCCAGTCTGCATTCACATGCCTAAAAGTGAATGTTTCTCCCTGACTGGAGATTTGCCCCCGGATCACAGCAGAAAGATCACCTTGTGCCTTTACAGACAGGACTGCTGTCATAAAATATCTCTGTGACCTTTGTTTTTTTCAGAATACTTATGTTAGCACCCTCGGGTTCCCTTCTCAAAGTACATCTTCCTTTTCAGGACATTTCTCCAGTTTTCAATATCACTCAGAGTTTTCTCCTGTCCTCCATCTTACCCACACCTTGGTGCTTTTACAAGTCTGATGTACACATCCTCCATGCTTCAGTGCTCTGCTTTACAGTAAATATGTAAGAAAGACCCAGAGCAAGCTTCACAGACCACTCTCAGTTCCTTCAGCTTAACAGCAAACTGCTAGTAACCGCTCTCAGCATGTGCAGCTTTTACTGCATGTCTAGATCATGGCTTCCTCACTTGCTGAAGAGAACGTCGCATGAAATTGAGGCAAAAGCCTTAAAAATCACCGAGGTTTAAGGCCTAATCTACTACTTTGCTGTCCACAAGCCCTGCTCTCCTGTCATGAGATTGCTGCAGTGTGATTTGTTCTTGACACATTCCTGTGGCTGTTGATCATCTCCTTATATTTTGTAAGTGCTGACAAGCAGCCTGATTATTTGTCCAAGTATTTTTCTGGGACCCGAAGTTAATCTGCCTACTCTGTAATTCCCCATTGCCTCCTTCTCCTCTTTTGAAAGAGAAGCATTCCGTCTGCCCTTTCCAGCCCTCTGGAACCTCTCCATCCCCGATGGCTCCTCAAAGCTAAGTGGTTGTGTCCCTGCGGCGACTTCAGGAAGCCTGCTGAGTGTCCTGGGATGCAGCTCAGCAGGCATGGATGATTGAAAACATCACAGTTATTTAATTACCCTCTAACCAAATCATCTCTTGCTTTAGCATGAGCTCTTATCCTGCTAACACTGGCATAGCCTCGTCAGACATTTGGTTGCTTTTGAATTTTTAGGAAAGATTGAAGCAAAGAAAGCTTTAAGTGTTTTGCCTCTCACAGCCGTACTTTTGCAGTTTTTCTCTTTGCCAAACAGTGAAATAACTCTTTCTTTGGCCCCTACATCAGTCAGGGCAAAGCCCCCTGTGCAGCAGAAGCCCACCAAGGAGATGCCAGCATGGCCCTGCATCTGCCACGATCACACTTTGGGGGACCTTGGGGCCAGTGGATGGGTACAAATCCAGCAAAGACCCCCACCACCCCAGTAGGGCCCAGCAGCAGAGCTCGGGTGTGCTGAGCTGAGGGTGTGGAGCCCTGTGCCCTTCACAAGTCCATGGCAGAGCCCAGGGGAGAACCCCACCATGCGGATGTCCTTGCAAGCCTCCTGCGCCAGGAGGCAACCGTTGCGTGGTCACCCTGCAGCAGTGCTGCTTGTTAGCACCATTCTTGTAGAGCTCATGAGCCTGGCAAAATAAATGGAAGGCTCTTATGGAAAATTGATACTTGAGTCAGAGCTATGCAGCTCAGCTATAAATCCCAGCCCCAGAAAGTTCTCTTGGTGGAGAAGAGCGGAGGTCAGCAGGGTGTGAGCTGCATGCCCTGAAGACCCTGTGTGGTTATTGTTGCTCCGTGGTTGTTATTGTCTGTGGGCTGAGAGCAGGTTCTCATGCGGCACCAGAAGAGCTGGCCGTGCCATGCGCTGGCAGCAGCTCAGCAGGCGCCAGGGCAGGTGGTGCCTCCGGCGCTGCAGAGGGCTGGTCCGGAGGAGCCACAAGGTAGGGTAAGCGCATGAAAGACTGATCTTTCCTTGCCAAGAGCAGATGAAAAGAGATGTTATAAAGTCACTTGTCTCTAGTAACATGGCCCTATCTCTGACACAGTGGTGGAGCGTATCCAAGTTTCAGGCTGGAATGGAGTTTAGCCCACACCTGGAATCCTATCCCAGTTTCAAAGGTCAGGTGCATTTCTGCGGTTACAGATGTCGAAGGGATGGCATTTGACCCTGGCTCAACCTGCACAGAAGCTGAGGTCTGATGGACAGGATCTTTTGAACCTCCATGGAACTTGCTTTCATTTGAATTACAAGCTGTTTTTTGTTTCTTCCCAGCCAGGTCTCTAGACAAACTCTATAACTTTGCTGACTGCTCTGGCCTTCACCTGATCTTTGCACTGAATGCTCTGCGCAGAAATCCCAATAACTCCTGGAACAGCTCCAATGCACTCAGCCTGTTGAAGTACAGTGCCAGCAAGAAATACAACATCTCCTGGGAGCTGGGCAATGGTGAGTGTGGGAACTAGAGAGCCACAGGAATGTAACTCACTCCAGTAGAAAGGTATTCCCTTTTGGGTAAGAGTTTTGCAGATCCCAGGATATTTTGCCAGTGTTGATTCAGAGGGGTTCAAAGATCCCTTTTAGAAGGAAATACAGTCTCTAAGAGCCACCTAGCGTGTGGTAGCACTTCAACTGATGTCTTATTGGTTGTTTAAATGCTTCTGCCTGCCTGGGTGCTGGGCATGGCTGGTTCTGGGGTGGGCTGATCAGAAGCAGCATGGACTTCACAGCAGCTGCAAAGCCCGGGGAACGGGTGGACCTGGTGGAGAGTGATGTCAAGGTGCATGTTCCTCACCTGGACCACAGCAAAAGTGACAAAGGAAGAGGTGCCATCTCACCATCCCAGCACTGCTGTGCAAATGGAGCACAATGCTGGTCATGGAGAGGGAGCGATGGCCCTCATCCCTCCCTCAGTGATTGTCTTCTGAGCTCAAGCTGTGAGACAGCATGTGAGCTGTGTGTCTCCCTGCGGAAGTGGGGATGGAGGAGCTGAGCTGGCAAGCCTCACTTCTCTATTTTTATTTTCCCAGAACCCAATAACTATCGGACTCTGATTGGTCGTTCAGTGAACGGCAGCCAGCTGGGGAAGGACTACATCCAGCTGAGAAGCCTGCTGCAGCTTATCCGCACTTATTCCAGAGCAAACCTCTATGGACCAAACATTGGGAGGCCCAGAAAAAATGTCATCGCTCTCCTGGAAGGGTAAGTAATGTTATTTGGATCAAGAAAAGATGAGGGAACCGAAATGTCTCCTGAAATTGATGCCCATCCCAGAAGGTCAGCCTGATCTTTGCTTGGCTCTTCACTGGTCAACTTCTAACCCTGCTATGGGCAGCAAGTGAGTAAGGCTCTACGTGCGTCAGTTAACTAAGCACCAGAACCTGGGCTCGGGAATGTGATGCTGCTAAATATTTGCAGAGATCCCTGGTGTGGTTTTGGCCTGGGCCAACTAACCCAGGCCCAAGCATTTTCAGAATTTCTCAATACGCATGTACGTATGAGAAATACGTACATTTCTCCATACGTATGAGAAACGGTGGCCACCTCATTGGGTTATGAAGGTAAGTTAGTGGTGTGGGTGCAGGCTGCTGCAGGCCTCTTGGCTTCAGGGGGCCAGGAGGTGGGTCCTGGCACAATTTACTCATTTTGGTGTGTCTGAGTCCTTCATTGGTGGCAACAGTCTAAGGTGGAAGGAAGCAATGGCCCATGTGCATTGGGAGGAGAGTGGGGAAACAGAGGTGAACACTTTTGTGCTGTAGCACCCTCCATATTGTTGCCTTAAACCAGGAGCTTTATAGTGAGAAGATTTTCTTTCTACATGTGTTAATAGAATATATCTTATGCTGCTCTCACCACAGCAAAACAAGGAATGTAAATAATTAGGTATGTACAAACAGCAAGTTCACTCATTCCCTTGGGAATGGGAGCTGGAAGTGTCTGGACAAAGAGCTTTGGTGTTCCCACTTGGTAGTTTCTTCTCCCCATGCCTTACCTGTGTGGAGGGAGAGATCATAGCTAATTCTTTCACAGGCCAAGCACTCTGTTCCCTCCTGGCTGGGACAAGCATTATGGATGAGAGGAAAATTTATGGTGCAGAGCCATTGCCATAGTGCTACTGCTAATCATGGCACCCCTTGATTCTGACTGAGCTACTTTTCCATTTGTGGCACAAAGATTCGCCATTACAGTTTATGATCTGTCTGGGAAATGCCCTACTCTCCCCTCTTCTCTCTCTCAAGGAAACACCTACCTAGCTCAATGTTACTTAGTACTTTTTAATGGTGCGATGCTGTTCCGACCAAGGCATCTCAATCAAAACCAATGCAGTTTCTGTTGGTGATACTGATGCTCTGAGTTTTAGCTTCTTGGTTGATTTGCCCAATTCCTTAGATGAAAAATACTATGCAGGAATTGACTGAAACGCTGAAAGGTGGGTTTGCTTTTTGTATGCATTGGGGAGGCCAGAGAGAAGAGCCTGGAGAAGGGATCATGACAGTGATGGAGTGGGACACCTGGATGTGACACAAGACAGCTACAGGAACAAGTGAGGTGTGGGAGTCTGGTGGCAGCACAGGAATTCAGACTGTGCGGGCTCGAATACTGTCCAACAGAGGGGAAATTCCCCGCAGGACTGTAAACAGAAACTCCAGTGCACAAAGCGGGGCAGGGGGAGGCGTGTAAGGGACTCTGCTGGGAGCGAAGCTGGGTCTAGCATTCATTAACATCTGCACGAATGATCTGGCTGAAACAATAAGCAGCACACTGATGCCGTCCCCAGGGAGGCAGGCAGAGAGCAAGGTCCAGATTCTCAGCTCTGCTGCAACAGAACAAAGAGACCATAAAGTGGGTTTAACCAGCTGTGACACCAGGATCCCTCACACTGACAATAGGTGGGGAGGAACAACAGTTCTACGCTGACACCACGGCTGTCACCTGTGTCACCACATGCAGTCTCTGTGAAGAGCACGCTGCTAGCTGCAGCTCCTGGGTTTGGTAAGGTACGGTGAGCATGGCTCACGTTGAGTTACCAAACGTTGCAGTAGCCTCGATCAGCAGGACATCTGTTAATGCCAGAGGAGCGGGCTGAGTAAGGAGAATGACATGAATGAGAGCCAAGAAGCCCTCAGAGAAAGGGAAATACTACTTTGCATTTGCCCTTCACATGCCATGGGTGGTCCAGTGGCTCCATGTTTCAAAGCTGCACTTTGATTGACAAACGACCCCTGATGTGAGACTGAAGTCTGACAGAAAGGATGACAGAAATGTCATTTTGAATGAACAGGAGAGTTGGTCAGAGCTACAGCTTTGAACAGCCATGCAGACAGGGTACTGGGGGCTCTCCAGACTCCCATACCAGTTTGAAGGTAGTTTTGCAAGAGCTATAATGAGTCTGCATGTTCTCTAAGCTCTGTGCTGTTTCCTAACAACTATCATTGCCTGCAGAGGTGATGCTGTTCCACAGGTGCTTCAGGCGATTTCTGCCTCCTTTCAAGGCACCTCATGTGAGACCAGGCACACCTGCAGCCCAAGCCCTGGAGTCTGGGGCTCTTGGTGAGTGGCACATGCTCCCATGATCTAACAGGCCACAGGTTCCTGTGAGAAACAAGCTGTTTTTCTTCCCCTCTAAAGATGATGTTATTACCAGATAAGGTGCAAAGATGAGGAATAAATCTGATTAAATCAAGACAAAGGGTTAAACATTCATTTACAGTATTTGGAAACAGAGTCAGGAAAGGACAGAGAAATAAAACTTAGTGTCTTAAGCTACTTTACAGCATGAGCTTTATTCCCGGCAGCTCCCTGAGGTCTCTTCAGTATTCTCGGCTAGTGCTACTGAGAGCTGTCTGCCTTTTTCCAGCAGCATCGCCAAACTGGTCAGTGAGATGACACTTAGAAGTACCTAGGGCTTTCACAGCCAGCACATGCCTCCTGAGACCCTGGATGAGCCTCACAGAGCCAGCAGACAGGAGAGGGTAGAAAGAATTAGGAAAGTGCTCCTAGTAGCAGTCTGTGATGCTTGTGTGCTACAAGGAGTCTATGCAGAGCTTGCAGTAGGATGAAGATCATGGAGTGTGGTGCAAACACAGAGGGACAGAACAGCCTCCTGCCACCTCCTGGCTTTGGCACATCTGTACCTTTCCCATGAAGGCAGACTCTGACGTAGGCTCTGGCATTGCCGTGCGCATTCTAAATGGCTCAGAGCAGCCACAGATCATATCAAAGTTGTATCATGAGCTAGTCCTGGAGAGCAGGCCAGATCTGCTACTGCTGATGTGCAGATAGACTCTGCAGAGATGTAACACTGCGTAATGTTAGAGATGGAACGGGCCGATGGCTATGGCCTGCTCTGTGGGAGGCTAGAAATGGTGTCCTGTGAATGCACATGTGCAAGAGGAAATTTCTCCAGACACAACTAACAGTTGAGTTTGATGAGGTGTTAATTAGACCATTCATGTAGCCTGAGCTGTTGGAGAGCAGACTGTGTTAGCTACCTACTGTGTCTGCGGGCATAAGCATCTCAGAACTGTGTAAACTTATTTGCTTGGGGAAAAAATGTGGTATTATAAGGAATTGACATGGGTTTTAACAGCAGATCAAGAATCAGCCACAAATGCTAATGCACCACTGAATTGCAGAGTCAGTACTGTAAGAGAAGAAATGCAAGGGAAAGATATTGGCAAGGAGAGATGCTAACAAGTGTGAAAGCTCACAACATTTGGTACAAAATAGACTGACATATCCAGGAAGATTTGGCTAGGGACTCTCAACATCTATTGTTCCTTAGTAAGTGTGGCCTAGTTTTTGCCATTGGACACTAAATAGTGTCAAGGTGTTACCTCTGCTGCAGCTAGAGGCACTGGTGTTTGCACTAGATGCTCCACAGGCGCTTTGGGTCATGGGCCCCATCGAAGTCACAAATCAGAGAGCAAAGGGGTCTTTTTACCATGGGCCAAAGCCTTTACCCCATCTCCTTGTGCCCTGCCTCTCAGCCAGGCAGAAGATCATAGCAGCATAAACTCAGACTAAGATAGCATTGGACCTATGCATGAATACAATCATAAATATATTGGAATAAATAGTGAAAGGTGTGATAAGGTATTTGGTAGTTGCTTATACAGAAAGCTCAAAGATCTGAGGAATAAACTGAGGATTGTAGTTATAAAGTCTACTCAGGAGAAAAGACTTAATGTAATCATCATTAGAGCCATTTGGGCTGGAATGCCCAAATCACTCTCACCTGTATAGGAAGAACAAAATGGGTAAAAGCACAGTTATGAGAGGGTGTAGCTTCATCCTGATCACTATCTACAATCCTGATTGTTTAGCTGAAGAAGCTAAACCTCAGAAGAAGTGTAGCAGAACTGGGAAAGCTACAGAGAGAAGCCCAGGATGTGCAAGAGGTATGTGATGTCTTCTACATGAGAAAAGATTAAGAAGGCTATGGCTTTTCATCTTAGAAAAGAGACAGCTGAGAGGGAGGATTATCAAGACTCATGAGCTTGTGAATGGTGGGTCTCCCACAGTGCACTCCTACTGTGAATTCCCTGTCTGAAAACTTTTCATCTTAGAAAAGAGACGGCTAAGAGGGAGGATTATTAAGACCCATGAGCTCGTGAATGGTGGGTCTCTCACAATGTACTCCTACTGTGAATTCCCTGTCTGAAAACCAGCATTGCAGGTCAGTTTGCATTAACGAGGATGAGTAGGGTCTTAGAGTCTTTGAATACTGCTGCAGATACTTCATTGCACTTCAAACAGTTTGCATTAGCCAGGAGGAGTAGGGTCTTGGAGTCTTTGAAGACTGCTGCAGATACTTCATTGCACTTCAGAAAACCTTATACTAAAGAATTTTTTTCCCATCACACCCGCTTTCTGGTCTCAGTTTGTTCAGTTTCTTGAGTGGAAATTTGGGCTTGACTCCCACATTGAGGCAGACCTTAGGATGGAGAAGAGGGCACAGTTGTATGGATGAGAGCCATGCTCTGCCAGTTAATTCAGGAGCCCAACAAGCGCTGATGGGTGCTGACCCTGTTGATGTTAGAAAGGCAGCATGGCAAAACAGTAAATGCAAACAGGAGCAAGCTCTTCTCCCACACCTGACACTGGCCCCAGCCTTGCACAGAAGAAGGCTTCTGGTACCCAGAAGTTAGACAATGCTGAACCATTTGGGAGCCTGTGTGATGGTGATTTGTCTCCCTTGTGCAGCTGCATTCTTTATTGCAGGATCACTTTAAAAATATGTATGTATATATTCAAAGGAGAACAGTCTGCAATTACCTTCATGGGAAAGAGATTTCCAAATGCAGATGGTTCTTTAATGTATCAGGAATGAGCCTAGGAAGTTCCAGTGACTGGAAGCTGAAGCCAGACACATTCAGATGAGAAATAACATACTTGGAGGCTAATTAACCATGGGAGCAATTTGCTTAAGGTTACAGTAGATGCTCCATGACTAGCAAGCATTGAGTCAGGACAAGAGCTCTATTTCAGAGATGTGCCCACACTCAAATGAAAGTTACGGTCTTGAGGGATGGGAGTGAGCGAGAACCTTTGCAGGCTTGCAAGAGGTCAGGTCTGAGCCATGGTTTCACCATGTAGAGTTTTTGGTGCCAGTAACATCCTGTGTTGTCCCATTCCTCTTGTCCCTCTCTTCCATAGCTAGCTCCTGACCTGTGGCATGTTGTCCCATGCGTCACACCAGTGTTACCGTTTTTGGGGCTGGACTGTGGTCTGCTTTGGGTGACTGATCCAACTTTAAATGTGTTTTTCTCACTGCTATTTAAAGGCAAAGTCAGGTCTCCGTTCCAGTTCAGGATGTAACCCCTCCAAGCAATAATGTTGGCCGTGGCACACTGGCATACAGGCAGCAGCATAGTAAGGAGATGGACAGGTCTCAGCTCAGGGTCCTTGCCTAATCTTTAGTGGCACAGTTATTGATTGGGGCTCCTGTTCCTTCACACAACTCTTGACATGTTTTGGTTTCCCTGGAAATTCTGCCCGATCAGAATTTGAGGATTTTTGGATTTTCCCAGACTGCGGATATATGGAAGTTCATCCAGGAATACAGAGCAGGAGCATCCTCGGGACAGGCGAATTGCAGGGCATGGCTACAGTATTAGCACACAACGCCTGCACAGCACAGGCTGTGCTCGTCCCACTGCTCGCGGGGTGTGGGATTTACTGCAGATGCATTGCATAATAGATCAGGGCTCACAGAATAGGGCCAATGTATAGGAAAATGTCAGATTTACTGCACCAGCATGGACCATCTGCCCAGCACATGTGCAGGGGATCCAATTCTTCCCGGAAGCGTCTGGTTTACTCTGCCTGGGCTGCACTGCATGCATGTACATCATGTGGTCCAGGAAATCCCAGATAAAAATGTGCCAGCGCCAGCCAGACAGCAGGATCATATTGATATTCACTGCCCTTAAAATCTGTGGTTCAAGCAGTGCAGGCGTTACATGAATAAAGGAATTTAAAACATCTGTATTCCTGGGCTAAGGATATTTAAATACCTGTGTATCAGTGTAGTCTCCACCTGCCCTGATCTTTCATCTCTTAGGCTTGTAGTACCCCTTGCTGGATATTGAACCAATCTAGATTCCCTTTGGAGGGTAGAGACCATTGCCTATCTTTTCCTGGATGTTCCAGGTACAGCTCCATCCTTCCAGGCCAAACCTGAAGTTTTGCCAGGGACTTCTGAACTTTGATTTGTAGAAATTTCAGTTAAGGCGAAAGAAAAAAACAAACACAAAAATGAAAATGTGAGCTAGATATGATCTTTTATGGTAAACTTTGAAAATGACCAGATCTAACTCATTTATATAATTCCTACAGAGACCATACAAGAAAATGAAGCAAGCTGGGGCTTTTCTTTACTGCTCTTGGCATACTTAATATGTATAAGGGTAGCTATCTGTTAGCCAGCAGCCCCTGTATTGAGTATTTTGAACCTGGGAGCTGTTTGTGTTTTATCCATTTGAGATGCTTCTGCATATCTAGTTTTGAAGAAGAGCAACCTTACCTGGTGTGCTCTTCATAGCAGCATTTGCAAAACTGTCTTTTACCTTGGAGCCCAATGATCCATGCAAGTCAAAGCCATGCAGGGAAGCCACCAGACGATGCTCTCAAGGCCACTGCAGGGCTGCAGGACACACCTTAGCCCATGGGTAAGGCCAAGTGCTTGACCCGGCACCCAGGCACCAGTGGCATGTGCTGGAGAGCCACAGGTGTCCCAGGGCCGGTCCCTGCTCCCCTATTGACTCTAGGAAGGCTATCTGGGCTGTTCTCACAGTGGGTAGTTGGCGAAGGACCTTTCACAAAACCACCCCTCTTGCTGGCTCCCAGTCCCAACCCTCAAGAGAGACGCAAAAAGTTTTTGTAAGACGAGCCTGGGAACTGAAATTCATAGCACTGCTGGGCATCAGAATCATGGGGATTTATCAAGGCTACTGCTTTTTACAGCATATTATTGTTTTTCCATTTCTAATTGCATCTCTCCCCTCTCTGTCCTCAGGGATTTATTGCCTCTGCCTTTGCTAGTGTCCTCTTATGCTTCACAGGGTCCAGCTGCCCTTTTGTCCCAGTCTATAATTGACCATCACCATTAATTGGAAGTCATAATGATTGTTTCCAAGCTATATATAGCCTGAAGTTTGCTGCTCTTGTTTCAGATCTGATTAGAGGTTCATGTGCCTGCTTGCATGCAGGTCTTCCTTATCAGACCAGCATTACCTCTCCGTAAAAACCTCCCCTCCTGTTGCCGCATCAGTGCTGCAGGCAGGGGAGAAGGGCCAAGGTACCCTATCTGCTGGAGTGTCTATCCTTCTCCCCTCACCCTTGAAGAAGCCCATATTCCTGATTTAAAGCAACCTCTGCCCTTAGGAACTTGAGTCACTTCCCTGTCTGAAGCCTGGCTCATAGGAGCTGCGGGCAGCACGTTCCCATCAGTGCCACTCTTGTCCTTGCGCCCTGCTGCAGCACTCAGCAGAGTCACGACAACTCTGTGATTAGTGTTGCCCTCTCAGGGTCTCCGCGCATTGAAGGGTAGCCAGAGACAGCACTGCATCGATTTCTTTCTCATCATGTTCACTTGATCAGACCAGCGGTTCCTGTCACACGCATGCTTTATAGCATCTAAAATGCAACATCAGCTACACTGTGTGTGTTATGCTGCTGAACAGAAAAAACATGCCAGTACAGTTGATGCGTATTTGTGTTTTGTATCTGTGCTCCTAAGCATCTGTAAGAGTATAGTAACTGGTTTTGTTTACTTGTCTGAGTTTTCCAGTGTGTGGTTTGGAATGTGGTTTGGATTGCTGGGCCAGGGAGACATGGATGGGCTGTCTTGGATGGCAGCAAGCCCATGCCAGAGGCTGCAGTTGTGATGGTTGTCACAGTCCCCACGATCAAGAATTGTTTGTTTTGGTGTCAGTGGTGGAAGCAGATACCCTTGTGTACTCTCAATTCCAACTCAGATGTGGATCTCTGGAGGAGGTGTGTTCTCTCTCAGGTAGTTGGGTCACAGGCTAACACACACACAGCTTGCTGACTTTGGGTAGGGAAGTGCTGTGCTTACTCGTAAAATGGGTCAACTCAAAAGTCCACCCAGGCAGAATCTCATGAGTCTTCAGTGCGCAGGAAGAAGCACCAGGACAAGGTGAGCATGCCACAATGCTTGTCCAGCCTTCTCCCACCCCTAACACTCAAAAATCCCTGCCTACAGGGAGCATCTCTGCATCTAAAAGCTTTGTTGCATTCATTCACCTTCATTCTTTCCAATCCCTTTTTAAGTCCAAGCAACAAAGAGTTCTACAACTTAAGCACACATTGTGCCTCCTTTTCAAATGGGCATTTGATATTTCATTTGATTGAATTTAAGAGCTGAGGCGTTGCTTTCATAGGTCGAAATACATATCGCAAGATCTTGTCCCTGAAATATTGTGCTCAGAGACCTGTGCCCACCTGCTCAGAGCCTCTGCCGGGGCTGGATTTCCTTCGCTCGTGTTCAGCTGTGCTTGCCATGAGCACTTGCATTAGTTACAATTTATCCTTTCCGTTTGAGGATGCCAGGGATTAGCTAGAGAGCCTCTGGCAATGTCATGGGCACAGGATGGCTCTTCCCTGCCCTGTGGTTTACGACGGGCACCGCTTGCTTTCAGCCTTCCCTTGTGCTTATGAACACCTGTGACAACACGGCGCTCACACGGTTTCTTGCTCTGTTTCTCCTAGGTTCATGAAAGTGGCCGGCAGCGCGGTGGATGCTGTTACCTGGCAACAGTAGGTATTCGCCCTTCCTCCTGTTTTCTGCCCGGAATGGCTACGTGGGGATAAGGCAGCGCTTGGGGATAATGCGCTGCCTGGGGGAAAAGGGGGGCTTCTGCAAGGGGTCTCCTCCCTCCCCGTGCTGTTTAAGGATGTAAAGGGGGCTGTGCTCCTCCCTCAAGAGGCTCCATACCGGCCGCACCAGGAGGGGATGCGCTAACCTTGTCCACTCGGGCCGAGTCGGGGCTTTCAAGACAGGAGCTCTGCTCACGAGCGCGCCCGGCGTCGCCGTGCCAGCGCGGTAACCTCGGGCTCCCGCAAGAGCAACCGGCTGCACCGCGGAGCGCGTTGCAGCGCCAGGCGCTGCTGGTGCTCTGCAAGCCTGTCTGTGCTCGCCGAGCTTCCCCGCCGGGTGCAGAGGGGGCAGAAGGGTAGCAGAGTGTTTGGAGCGGGATTCATGTTACTTACAGGCTCACGCTGTGCAACCATGATCTATGTCTCAGCTGGGAGTTTGCTTTTCACGATTACATGATGTGCTGATCGCATTTACTTAGTCCAGGAATTTGCTTTCTGAAACAGGGCTTGGTGGCTGGGCCAAGCCCTTGGATGAGCTGAAGGAACAAACTTCCAGGCTTCATACGTGGAACAGTGTCCTAGGGCGCGGGGAAACCACACTGCACGGCCACTTTGAGACCTTTAGTTAAGGGATGGGGGAAAGTGCGCTGGTGAGGGCAGCTATGCCAACACGTTGCCCATGTAGCCCCCAGCATGGGACGGCCGCACATGGAGCCACTGCTTGAATCCCTCTCACTGATGCGTCCGAGCAGCTTCTCCCAGCTCAGGGCTCTGGTGCCGGCGTGTTGCAGCTGAGAGCAGTTGTGAGGAGCAGCAATGGCCACCCTTCCACTCTGGGCTTCTGTTCTGTTTATGAATAAATGTCAAAACAGTGTCTCATCCCTCTGCTCCAAACAGCAAAACAAAACAAAACAAGTTCCTTTGTATCCAAGAAGAAAATTATTAGCAGGAAACTGAACTGCTGTCTAACTTCAAGTATGAACGTTTCTGTTCCAAACCCCTAACGTTCTCTTGGGGTATTGGTTATAAATTTGTCAAATCTGTTATTCCTTTGAAAAAGTTGTGCCTGATCCAGAAAGGGAATCGAAAAGGGAATACTTTGCAGGGATCCCTATTCTCTGTGTGAAAACACACAACCGTTCCCTCTCTTTCTGAATTATATCTGCTAGAAAAGTGACATGGGGTGTAAATAAGTAGGCTTGCCAGCCTTTCTGAGTATGGTTTCACTTACATATGTAACTCAGCATGTGTGCCTCCCTCTTCAGAAGTAATGTGTTGCTGGATGGGGATGTGTGAATGGCTTAGAAACGCTCAGGGAATTTCCACTGAAGGCGGGTGGGGCAGGTGGGTCTGACAGTGGCTCAGAAAGTTTTTGGCATTTCCCCCGTCATTTAGTCTGTGTTGCATTTGGTTATGAGCAAATGCTTAGTTTATCATGGACCCCCCCAGTCTTTGGATGCAGGTTTCCACTGCTCAGATATCTTCCCACAGCCCTAGCTTTGCTCCTGAGCTTGGTGTCCTTGCACATGCTGCAGACGTGTTGCCTGCTCAAAGCAGCAGCTGTGCCTCAGTTCCATTCCTGTGCGCACTCTTTATTTTTCATTGCCCGTTTCGCCCTAATGGGGCACGCAGAACTTGGGGTTTGTCACGTTTTGTGGGCAAACCCTTGAGCAATGTTGCGTGGGCACATGTGGGATGCACCTCAAAGTGCTTTTGCTGGGTTCGATTTAGATGACACCTGGCCCAGATGCGCCAAAGGTCCAGGTGGAGATACTCATGAGGCAGTGACTGTCTGTGCCCCGCTCTTAAGTAGATGGCAGATTTCCCAAAAACGCCAGAGAGAGCTGGCTGATGTGCGTGCACATGCTGAAGTGCAGACCGGGGGTACGGAGATGCCGTGCTCAGAGCGCGGTGACTTCTGAGGCTGTGTCCAAGTGATGGGCTTTCATGAAGACATCAGCAGCCCATCTCCAGCAGTACACGAGCCATGCCAGCTCGCAGCTCTGCACACTGCTGGCCATCTCCTGCATGAGCATAATGCTGCCAGAGTGGGGGTCACCAGCACGCTCCCAGTCCCTCCTCGGGGAGCAGGGAGCATCCTGCCTCTCTCCCCCGGCAAGGTCGGCTGCCCCTCTCCTCGGGAAGCTGCTCGGGGACCGGGGCCAGCTCTGCAGGCAGAGGTGTCTCAGTTTCACAGCTGTGGCGGCCGCTGGTGTCACGCTGACAGAGGGGATCTGCCTCGCGCCGCGTCCCCGGCAGGCGGCTGCCCTAATTCCAAGCAGACTCTCCCTGTAGCAGCAGGCAACAAAGTAGATCCGGAAATTCCTGAGCTTTGGGAAGTTGGCTTTAATGTAATTAACTGCAACAGAAGAAGAGGTCAGATAATAGGGGCAAAGGTTCCTCTTTAAAATGAAAGGGGAAGTAAATGAAACCAGCTGCCCAGGAGCCGGTGCACTGCCTTCATTAAGTATGGTACGATGCTCGTAGTCACACGTAGCAAACTCCGGATCTTTCCAGAAAAGCACCACAAAAGTAGCACAAGATCTAGAGGTGAGAGCACAGGGACATGAAGCCAGCCCCAGATTAGTCCAGGGGCCTGGGAGCTTGGCACTGCCCATCTTTAAGTGCCGCTAAGTTGCTGTGGGTGCCTTGGCCTTGGAGGCTGCCCAAGGACAAGGACATTTCTGGCTGGGAGCTGCACTCAGCCCTGTGTAAGTAGATCCTCTGTGGCAGCTTTTGTGATGTACCAGTGCCAGCTCTTGCCTTTGTGCCTTGAGCCTTGTGCTACTGACCCAGCTAGGGATGGAGTCTGGGATTCGGGCTGCTGCTTTTCCTAGTCCTGACACAAATCTCTGCTGAGCCTTGGATGAGCCCTCTCCTGGTGCTGTGCTCTGGCTTGCCCACTTACAAAGTGACACAGCGATACCTCTCTGCAAAATGCACTGATCCTGTCATGGGGTTTCCTAGTGCATATTGCTATATATATGTATATATATATATTTATTATTATTATTATTATTATTTACAAAGTGGGGTATCCTGCCTGCTGTTCCCCAGCACAGCCAAAGCAATCACACCTGGCCTTTCCTCTGAGGCATGTGTTTCATCTAGACTTCTGCTAGATCCACCTTTCCCTTGCCTGGCTCTTTTTATGCTCCTGCACGTTGTCCATCTTCAGACACAGCAACACCGAACTGAGGGGTGCGGAGTTGGACTGTGTGCGATTGCCCCAAAGAAACTGCATGGGAACTGATGAGCGAGGGACTGCCCTAGCCCTCTTGCAGAGTCTCAGCTGCCCAGCCACGCTGCCCTGCGCTGGGCAGAGTTTGCTCTTTTGCCTCCTTCGTCACTAAAACCTGGTGGGCAAGAGGAGGAAGCAGCCGCCCTGCTCCGTGGGGACATTGTCTGCAGCTGCTGCTGGCTTTTTTGGAGGTTGGAGAGTTGTGACTGTTAGGGATTTTTTTTCTTTTTATGTCAAGTGCACTGAGTCATTGTAAATATCAGGAAAGCTGCAGCTCCTGGGAATAATCCACGCCTAACGACCCCTTCTCCTTCTTTAAAGATCTGGCAGTTGTGTGAGTCTTGCTTAGATTTCTATATTTCCTTTACTGGTCGTTGGAGTTCTCAGCAGGGAGTCAGGAAGTGACTGGGTCTGAGCTGTAAAATCTAGAGCTGGAAATGACCTTCCAATTCCTGAATAGCCTGGCACTAAATCAGCAAAACCCTTGGTGCCCTTTTCCTCCTTGCTGGCCGTATACAACTGATCCCATTTTCTTCCTCTCCCAGTTTGGGGTTTTTATCGATGTCTTAAGAACTTCTAGACAGATCCATGAGAGATCTCTCTTGGTCCTAGAGAAATCTTGTAATTTTCTGCATGCACTTTTCAAAGACCCAGAATGAGGGGTTCCCCTCCTCGCTGCCCAGGAGAGACATGCTATCAGCAAAAAGATTTCCTGATATTAAAGCACAGGGTTTATTTTTGCCTTTCATCCCAGTGCCATTCCCCATTTCTCTGGGTTGTTAAGGAAGGTGTCAAATATCTGTGATCATGGCACTGTCCCCAGGCATTTCTGCTCTCTGCAGGGTCTTAACAGGCTCGGCACCTTCCACGCTGGTTCCTCTTGCTGTGTGAGAGACAAGCATGGTGCTGAGAGCAGTTCATTAGAGCTGGCTTCTCTGGGGGCTGTTACTGGTTAAAATAGCAATGTTGCCCTCTGTTTGCAGTGGGGCTGCAAGTCGGAGCACACTTTGCACTTGGAAGAGCTGAGGAGGAGGTCTCAGCTTGCGTGTGGTGTCTGACAGGTTTATTCTGGCCTCCGTGATCGTATTGGCTTGCACTGCCCAGGTGAACCGCGCAGCCTGAGGTGCTGGAGAAACAGTATGTCAACTGACATATCTCTAGCTCCGCTTTTCTCATTAATACCAACTTCTTTTTGTGGTCGTTCCACCAGTTTTCAGCCCAAGTGATGGGGCTTTTAGTCTACATCAGTCCAAAAGATATTTTCTGTTCAGTTTTTTACGTGCTGTACTGAAATCCAAACATCTGCCATCCCCAGGGTCCAGTGCTTTGTAATTTTGTCTTAAAAAGTAATCTCTGCAAACCCCATCACTGCCTGCTGCTCACTGATCTGTTGTCGTCTCAGCAGCCAGTGATTCAATATTATATAAGAGCTGATGATACTCTGAACACTTCCCCAGTCGCCCCTGGAGATAATCTGTCCTTAGCATCTTACAGCCAGCACGGACACGCTGGACAGTTTCTCTTTTATACTTTCTCTTCTTACAGAATGTGGAACAGAGGTCTAATAGGCATGATCCTGTTTCCATGGATGGAGGGCTGTACCTGGGAGAGGATTTGCAGAGGAGCTATTTCTGTTTTGGGGCAAAGCTCTAATTTGTTTCTCTTCTGGGCCAGTTAGCCCTGGCATTGCTCACCTTCCACTGCAGCCTTCAGCGGCTCCACGTGTATTTACGCTGTTACTTGATTTGAGCACTGGAGCAGGGAGAAGCAAAAGTGCTCTTTGAGCATTTGTAAATGTTGCACACGTGCCGTGCGCTCTGGCTGCGTCTGATTTAGCGTGCAGCATCCTTTGGGGATGCTCTTGCCCGCACGTGCATTCATACACCCAGAAAATATGCCACAATGGCCACTACAGCTGCTCTTTTCTCTTCTCCCTGGTTTTGGGCTTGCTGCCATGGGTTATGGGCTTGCTTTCGGTTCACTAACAGCCCTTCTGCCTTTAATAAGGACATTTTCCTGCTGCCTTTTGTCTGTGTTAGACCTGTCTCTGGGAGCGAACGTGAAGCAGCAATGGGCTTTCCAGTGCTCACTGGGGCCAGGCAGGATGCATGTTAGAAAGAAATCACCCCTGTAAATGAGCTGTAGCTCTGGAAAGGTGAAACCGTCTTTTTCAGACTCCAGGATGCTGTGGGATTTCTGAGGGCCTGTCTTCCTCTGTGCTGCTTTTTCCATCTCTGTGCACAGTGTCCCTTGTCCTTCAAAACTGTCTGAAGGGCACAGGCCATAATGAGAGAAGATCTCTTTTCCATCCTGGGAACTAAGAATCCTTTCCTGCTCAGGGGCCCAGGGCACCACGGAGCCCACCAGCAATCCTGGGGCTCATGACAGGCTCTTGGGACCATGTGGGATGTCTGTCCCCTTCCCCCTGCACAACTGGGGCACCAGCCATGCGTAGCCTGGTGTTCCCTCCCCTCCGGACATACATACCTACTTGCAGCAGCATCTGCTTTTCCCTCAAGCCCATGCAATGCTGAAAAAACCTTGCTGGATTCCTCTGTATCAAATTCCATGTTAGTAGCAGTGAGGAAGTTTCTCTTCTCAGCTATTTTTGCATTGTCAGTGCCAAAGGTGGTAGGGCAGCTTGCAGAAATCCAGAACCCAGGGGGATGGTATATATTCTATAGGGATGGTGTTTTATTGCTTCCTGTTCCCTGTGTGTACCAGCACCTGAGGCTGCACTAAAGAGGGAGAAGCTCTGGTTAAATCATGGTAACCAGCCCAGCCTCCTTCACTGCTGCCGAAGTCAGGATGCGGCTCTGGAGAGGGATCAGAGGTGGCAGCCAGGCCTGGCAGCCCACCTGGAGCTGCTACCAGCCCCATGCCACAGAGAAACCGAACACCAGGATGTCTCTGGTACACTCCAGGACTTGCTGTGCTGAGCTTGGTACGCGCTGGAGATGCTGGATGGACGAGGGTCAGAAAGTTTCCATTGCAGAACTTGCTCCTCAGCCAGATGGATGCTCCTGGGGTATTTCAGAGTATGCTTCAGCAGAAACCTCTGTGCCACTGAGTGGCTGGGAGGACTCTCTGGGAGATCTGCAAGGGATGCCAGTCTTCCCTGGTGTTAGACACACTGGTCCCAGATAATACTTCAGGAGGAACCTTTCTGTATTACCTCCAAAAATAGGTTATTTGGACTCTGGAACAGAAAACTTCACCTAGTGCTCTCAAGTCAGGAGACAATATTCAGGCATTTCAAAGTTTTCCTCCTACACTTAGAGACAGATGATTCAGATTATGACTGGCAGACCTGTAGCCGTGTTTTATGTAAGCAAACACATGAGGAGCAGTAGTCCGCCCTCTGAGTGGGAAACAGTCCATGGCATTTCCATGGCAGAAATAATTTCTGCAAGAGCAAGGCTTCCCCAGGAGCATCAGGGGTCACAGATACAGCACACAGGTTCTTCCTGCGGGGGGATTGGGTTGTCGTTGCTTTGCAGGGAACAGGATTGAGGAAGCGGCAGATCGTGTTGGGAGCCAGGCTTGCTCTTCAGCATGCTGCAATGCAGTTATCCCCACGGATGGGAATGCGGAGCAGCTTCGATGATCTTTGGGAGCAGTATCAGCCTCCCTCATCCTATCTCAGGTGTGTCCTGCACTGCCAGGCCTAGAGACAATTTTCTGGGTGTCGCAGAGGCTGTCTTGCTGTAGAGGATCCTTCTACTTCTTGGTGCCTGTGGCCTACATCCTTTGGCTAATGAGCCCTTCATTTAAGCCATTAGATGTGGATCCTCTGCTTTACCGTTCATAAAAGCAGTCTTTCCAATAGCACTGATACTCGCAGGGACTTCCACACATTTGCAAAACAGGGTGTCCCTAACGCAGGCAATAGATGCAGTTATTGCAAGACTGGTGAGTCAAGAGCTTCTTGGTGCAGTGCCAGCATTCTGCTCCCAGCTCTGCTGGGGAAGGCATGAGAAGGCCCGTACAAGGTGCAACAGTGGGACATGAGGCATGGTGTGGGGCAGAGCTACTCCCTGCTGTCTGATTCTTGTTTTCTTATTTTCATTCCAGTTACTACATTGATGGCCGAGTGGCCAAAGTGACGGACTTCCTGAAAACGCGCCTGTTAGACACGCTCTCTGACCAGATCAGGAAAATCCAGAAAGTGCGTGAGTGCAATGGGTCTGCGAGGGCTGGTGGCCGGGTGGGCTAGCTGGGGCTTGGCCCTGCTTGCAGGGGAGCGGGTGCAAGCAGGGCCGGGGTGTGCAAAGGTGGCATGGGTCATGTTGCAGGCTCAGGGTCTTTGCATAAGGGGGTCGGAGAGAGCAGGCTCGGAGCACAGCTTGGGGGAAATGCTGGCATTCACCTGGGATGCAAACACACGTTTTGCAGGGAAGGCAATGTGGGAGGTTCATAGTGGCCTTCCCCTTACCCTGCTCTCCACGAGTGCCTACAGTGTGACTTGCAAAGCTGTGACCATTGCAATTCCTCCGTGATTTTTGTTAGCGCAGAATCAGGATCACTCTGAACAATTGTGTTTTTTTTTTCTCCCTGATGATCATGTTTTGACTGCATTATAAAACCCAGCTGTTGCTTGCTTGCTCGCTGTGCCGGAGCCTACAGCACCGCCTGGCTAGCACAGCGCTCGGAAAGCTTTCCTGTCCCTGTTGGTCGGGGAGACGAGGCTGGAGATCGTAATGACTGCATAGGAAACAGGGGCTTTGCAAGGTCCTTGTGCTTCAACTGATACAGGGTCAGGGCTGTGGCCCAGCCTGCCCAGTTGTTGGTCTTGTAAAAAATAAGGAGCACTTCTGAGCAGGAAAGTCTGCACAGACTGGAGGACGCATCTGCCTGCCTGTCTTGTCTGGTTTCGTACCACACCAGTCACCACAACGTCTTACTGTTGCAATTCCTGCAGGGAGGAACTGTAGGATGAGTAAACAACCCAAAGAGGCCCCAGAAAAGGGGTTGCAAGGGTCTGCACAGTAAAACCGGGGGAGAGCATCCGCTTGCCGAGTCCTCTAGCGCAAGCTGGGAAATATCCACGCATGCTCCCAGCCCTGGGAGGCGTTGCAGGCGGCCAGCAGGACCGCCACAGGGGCAAGAGAGAGGCTCCGTCTGGCCTTGATCCCGAGCAAAACCCAAAACCCAGCAGTGCCAGTCACGCCAACGCTGCTCAGTGCCTTCTGGTGAGGGGACGGGACACATGGAGGGCTCGTGCTGCCTTGTCAAGGAGGGGCTATAGGTCTCTGCAGTAGGAAGGTAGCGTTTGCCATGCCCACTGTGTTCTGTGGGGTGGGCATGGCCAGGCACGAAGGGGCATAAGGACCCCCTGGACTTTGTCCAGTCACGGGCAGAGTCCAGGTGCCACCACAGAGCCTTGGCAGTGCCACAGGGCCCAGGGAGAAAGCTCCAGGGAATGCCAGTGTGGCTGAGCAAAAGCACAGTGCTGGGTGCTAATAGCCTCCAGCTTGGCTTTGAGTATGTGCATCCTGCCGGGGCTGATTAGAGCAGCTGGGCTTGTCCACTTCCCTATTTTATTGCTTCCTCTCTGACTGAGGAAGGTGGCGGGCTTAGATAATTATAGGCAGGATGCCAACACCTCTGGGGCTTCAGGCAGGGATGTCGACTCGCGCAGGCTGTGAGTGGGAGGCAGCCCAGAGCTGGCGTATTTAACATCTTTGAGGGATCCCAGTCCATCCAGCACATTCCAGCATCCTGCACTAATGGGGCAGGATCCGTCAGGCTGCGCCGCGCGCTCCCCGGGCCACGGGGCTTGCAGACATCTGCTCGCGGCAGCTCCAAGCCCAGCCGGCAATAGCGACGGAGTGAGAGAGAAGAAGGTGTTTGTGTGGCACCGGGGGCTGCTTGCATTGAGAAGGGGCAGCTCCCGCCATCCAAACCCTCCCGTCGTGTGTGGCCACCTCGCTGAGGTTGCACGGCCTGTGGGAGTCCTTCAGATGGAGGCCAGTGGATGAGCCGGTTTGCTTGGACATGCATGTCCCAGTGGTGACGGGGACCTGTCAGATGGCAAAGCAGCCCCTGCCCAGGTGTCATGTTGTGTCTTGGGATCTGCTCTCTCCTCTGGTTCCTACTGTGCCTTCCTGTGGCTGTAGGGAACCTCTGCGCTTCTTGAGTCCCTGTTTCTTTTCCGCCCCAGCCTCCAGCTCCAGCCCAGCTCCAGAAGATGGAAAGTAGACACATGCCAGAGGCAGGAGAGCTTGGAGAGCAGCGCCCTTCCATGGAGACACTGTCAGGGCGAGCTCGTGGCCATGCTAGGGCCGGCATGCCAGGGCCAGGCAGGAGCTCCACTGGGGAAGGATGGGCATTGCCAGCCTGCAGGGCAGCTTCCAGGCGTGTAGCACAAAACAAGGGATGACTGGCTTGGCTTTAAATCATAAGACCTTGAGGAGGAAGAAGCTCTTCCATGAAGGGCAGGTGCCAGTCCTTGCTGGATGACCAGCTGGCTCTGAGCAGGGTCTACAAGGGTATAAAAAGTGCCACATGCCCTGACTCAGCAGCCGTGCTCACAAAGAGGACACCCTTGGCCCTGTGTGACAGAGAGGCCTGGGCTTGCAACATAGGGGCGATACCGCCTGACCAATAAAACAATGGTCCACAGCAAAGGATGGGAGTGATGCTTGGCAGGAGATTGGATCACATCCGGGCAGTTGCTCAGGGCTCCTGCTGCTGCAGGTTCTCCCCAGCCCAGAGCATCGCGGTGAGCAGCAGTCACCACCGGGCATGGGAATGAAGGCTGTTTGCTGCTCTCGTCTTACGTGCAGGTGGTGAACACGTACACGCCGGGGAAGAAGATCTGGCTGGAAGGCGTTGGAGCTACCTCAGCTGGAGGCATGAACAACCTCTCCGATTCCTACGCTGCCGGGTTCCTGTGAGTCATGCCGGTGCTTGGGAGCAGTCACTGTGTGGGCTGTGCGCTGAAAACTGCTGGAAACAGCTGCCTGCTGCTGGCAGAGGGTCAGCTCTCTGCCTGGACACCAGTACCCACAACTTCTGGGTCCCACTTTGGTACACCGCTAGCAGAATGAGGCAATGTTATTTTCTCTGCAGCATCTGTATCAGCTATTTTTAGCCCTGCTCTTCTCTAGATGACACAGTCTCTGGCTAAAGAAGCACAGCAGGGATATGACCGCTCACAGTCCCACAGGTCATGTTCATTATAGTGGAGGTGTGACCAAAGAAGGATGAGAGCGGCTGCAGGCACTGGCTCTTGACCCTGGTGTTCCTGAGGAGCCTGCCTGGCTTGGGAGGCTCAACAGTGTCTTTGACCTTGCTCAAAGTCCTTCTTTCAGGCTGTGAGCACAGCTTCACTGTTGTGTTCAGGCCCTCCCTCCCTTGCTGGGCATTTGTGTCTCTGTAGCATGTGTGGCCCTGCAAAGTGCTTCACAGGGCTCTGACCTGGAAGCCATTTTTTCTCTTTAGAAACCACAACTATTCCTGATTCCTGGGGCTTGTCTGAAGGCGCAGCCCAGTAGTGCATAGATCCTGTCCTAGCCCCAGCGCGTATCTTCAGAGCTAGCTGTAATCGCGAAAGATTGAGAAAGATTGTCCACTGTTTGGAGTGAGGTGCAGGAATGTGCCCGAGGGGATTGCGGAGGGCCTCGCAGCGCGTGTGTGTAGAGAGGGGCTGGCCAGGCCCCGCTTTGGGTAGCACATCCAGGCTGGGCACAGAGCTTGCAGGCTGCGCGCGAGGGTGCGCCGAGGCATCCTGGGGACACAGGGGCTGCGTTTGGGATGGCTCAGGCGTGCGAGTCAGGCATGCACAGGGACAGGGATGGATGGAGAGAGAGGCACGCACGGCACAGGGTAAGGGGCGACCACCTGCTTAACTCCAAGCCTGAAGGCTTTGGCTCACGCTCTGCGGAGCACCGTCAGATGCAGAGCGCCAACAGCAGCCCGGAAAGCCGGGGGTCCAGGCGCCTCCGTGCTTGGGGCAGGCGGGCAGGGGCAGCCCCGCAGCCCTGTGACTCGGCTCTCTCCGGGCTCCAGGTGGCTGAACACGCTGGGCTTGCTGGCCAGCCAGGGCATCGACGTGGTGGTGCGGCACTCCTTCCTCGACCACGGGCACAACCATCTCGTGGATCAGAACTTCAACCCGCTGCCGGTAGGTGTGCACGGGGGCGTGGGGACTCGCCGTTGCTGGTTTTCCGAGGGGTGGCCTTTCCGCTTTCCTGCTCACAGAAGAATGTGCTGCCCTCATCCCTCACATCATCCCACCCATCTCACAGCCTCCTGGCTCTGCTGCAGATACAACCCTGGGCAGAGCTGAGAACCCACCTCTCCCTGTGGCCTGTTTGAACTTGCCTTCAAAATGAATTTTTCCAGATCTGCTTCTTTCAATGTTAATAGCAGGCATTAGTTAATGTCAAGTGCAACATGTTGAAGGCAGATGGGAGAGCATTACATCCATAGCTGGAGCTGTACCTAAGCAAGAATAGTAGCAGCAGGGGCTTGGTGGCACAAGAAGGAGGGTGATGCCACCAAAGGGGTTCCAACGTGGATGAGCACCATGCAGCACTGCACTTGGAGGGCCCGTAGGCGAGCGCAGGGCCAGGAGGCAGCCCCACGCAGGTTAGAGCCACGAGGAGGAGGACGCTGGAGGAGCAGGCGAGCAGCAGGCTGCGGGTGGCACGCTGGCCCGCGGCAAGTGGCTCTGTACCTGCCTGCAGGGTTCTAGAAACCAAAGCGAAAGTCACGCCGAGTCCTCATCTGGGCACCACAGCATCCCTCGTGCAGGCAGCTGGGGCTCCCAGCACACAACGCGATAATAAAGAAACCGTATGGAGAACTGCTTTAAAAATAGCAGGTTTCCTTTCATCTTTTTTTTTTTCTTTTTTTTTTTTTTTTTCTTTTTTTTTTTTTTTTTCTTTTTTTTTTTTTTTTTGTTGTCTAGTAAATTCTTCCCCTTGTAAGTGGAGAACGTGGCTGAGTGGAGAGGTGTCAGCATTTCCCCTGGCAGGAATTTGCAGGGCGGCCTGGGGCAGCAACAGGTAGACGCTGCCAACCAGCCTGGGAGAGTGTAATGGAGATCTGGGAATCATAAGGGGAGCAGTGTCAGAGAGGTATGTGCTTGATAAGGCAGCCCTGTTAGGGAAAAACATGGTTTTTTACGTTGTCTTGGGATCTTGGAGAGCGACTGCAAGGGGTCAGAGCCTGGAGAGACAAGACACCCTTGTCTCCTACCCGCTCAGCCAGGGCAAACAGCACCCGTGATGTGACAGCAGAACTGAGCATCAGGGAAAGATGCAGGAAGTATCCTGGACACTAGATTTGCTTTAACCTCCCTGCACTGTCTTGTGGTTGGCTTCAGAGAGCAAATCCCTAAGCAGGAGTGCATGGTCCCCTGTGTGTGCTGCTCCAGGCTTCTCTGCACAGCCAAGAGCACATCCACCGGGGAGCCCTGGGCTGCCCCGTAGGCATCCCTGTGCAAATACTGCCCTAGGCTACGTGCTCCTGGGCCCATGGGAGTTTGGTGGGCCTTGAACCCCGAGCCTAGAGCGAATGCTTGGCAGGTTTCTTCTGAAGAGTCAGTTGCTCTGGCCAAGCCACATCCTCCCGTCCCCAGGGGCTTGGGGCTGTCCCATGTTCCTCGTGTCGCCCAGGCCCTGCCCGCAGCGAGTGGGGGGCAGCAGGTGGTAGGTGTCCCCTGGCCAGCTCTCCCATACCTGCTGCTAACTCCTGCACAAAGTGCAGGCACGGAGTTATGAGCAGGACTGAGGCCAGGAGAGGAGGTCCAGGAATAAACCTGGACTGTTAAAGACCATTAAGGTCTTTAAAATGGATCGTACAGTTGTTTTAAAGATAATTCATCTAATAAATTAGACACCACCCCCTCTCATAACTGTTTCCTCACTCTCCCACATGCTTCAGCATTGATTTCTTTCCCATGCTCCAATATCATGTTCCTGCACAAACTCTGATGTGCACTTTTAAAACCCATTGCTCTCCCCTCCTGCGGTTTAAAAGAGCCCTGGGCAGGTGCAAATTGCTGGAGGGTTTAAAAGCCGCAAACATGAAACAGCCCAGCAAGACCAGCCCGTGACCTGGTTGGAGGTGTAGCAGCCGCTCTTTTCCCGTGGGAGCTATCAGGGAGAGGAAAGCCCCCAAAAGTCCCCGCGCCGGGCGCTCTGAAATCCAATCTGCTCGTTAGCTGCCACGACAAAGAGTTTTCCGCACGCGGCCAGGGCGTGAGTCAGCTGGCTGCCGAGAGCAGGGCGGCCGCGCCGCGGGATCCATCGCCGCTCCAGCTGGCAGCTGGTCACGGAGCCGGGAGCGGGCTCCCCTGCCTCTGCTCCCGCCGGCCACGCGCCCCATGCGCCAGCAGAGCAGGTCTCAGGCTCGCGGGAGCCGAGCAGGAGTCCGTGGTGCTGCTCCCAGGTCGCTGGGCTCTCCAGTGTGGGCTGGGGGGACCCGGAGCTGCTGTGGGAGCCACAGCCTCCGAACTGCCATGTGGCCTCTGCCCCTGCAGTGTGGTGCTGGGACGGGGCTGTTATGTGAAGGGGAAGGAACAGGAAAATAATTGCCTGGAGATATGTACAGCAGAGCGAAGCTTGCTGTCAGGGTCCATGCTATGGACCATGAGAAATATTGGAGAGTCAGGCGGGCAGAGCTCGCTCTCCGGCTGCGCTCGGGCTCCTGCGGGCAGCACCGGGGACGCAGACCTGGTCCCCAGTCAGGTGACCTTGTATTATGTTTTCTGAGGTTGAGTCCTGACCTGCAGACAAACTTCCCGACCCTGACCGCTTTGGTGGGATATGCAGGAGAACTGGGAATAGCAGCTTGTTGGTAAAGGTGCTAATGGGGAGCAATACAGGAGGAACTGGGTGGTGTGATGCTCTCTGACCTGGGCAAGGACTAAGTCAGACTGGGGAGCACAAGTGCTGCTGCCAACCTTAAAGCAACTAATCTCAAGTGTTTTTAATACCTTGTTATATGGAAGTAAATTTTTCATGCATTGTTGGAGTGCTTTTTCTCCTTGAGCAGTTAGGGTAGCCAGTTGTATAATAGTTGGGACTTTACTGCTTGACTTGTGATCGAGAAGCCCATCAAAAACAGACCCTCTGCCACATAAGTCAGTCTGCCTGTATGCATCTGCACGCCTATGGAAATGGGGAGTGCAGGAAACGAGGGCAGCAGCAGCATTGACATTTGCCCTTCAGAAGACATTTGAAACTCTTGACTGGCTTTTGGTAGAGGCTCATTTCAGGCATGGTGTGTGCATAGCATGTGTCCACACAGCCTAGTGTCATTCTGAAGCAATCTAGAATGATGCAATGCTTTTATTTCCCAGGTACGTGTGAGCCCTCTCTTCAGATGGTTTGAGTGTGTTAAACACTTTTTTAAATGAACTCCCACCTGGCACTGCCTGCTTTTATATCCATCTTTGAGAGTGATTTCTGCTCCCTTAATGCACGGAGGAAAGGACTGCAAGGGTGTACCTACACATGGGAAAAATGTGGACTTGTTTCTAGGCAGGGCCAATTCCATACAACCCATGGAAAGGTCAAAGCTGAAATCCATACTTGCATCTGATAACTGTGGGTCCTCTTGGACCTTCTGCCAGGTGCTGATACTCTCAGCTCCTCCTGTGTTAGGTAGATGCTAAAACTTCCTTTCTACAGCTAAGTGTAACAAGCACTAGGTATATGGGGGTTGGAAAAAAGCCCAGAAGAAGGGAAGGCTGTAGCTTCCTCAGCTGTGGCAGTGAAAGACAGCGTATGTGAACTGAAGGCATCCTTGAGCATCCGTGGCAGCAATGCGCAGGTCTGATGGTGCTTTGGTCAGCTGCTGGGAAGCTGCTGGTGATTTTTCACCGCCTTTGCTTAGCCCACAAGGGCTTAGGACTTAGATGGGAGAGTTGTGGGCTGCTGGTGTTGGGCCGTGCGCCTGCCACACACCGGTACCAGGCTCCCGGCTCCGGCTGCGCCTCGGCCGCCGCACGTGCGCGCTCCCCGGTGTGCTCGTTAGCCGAGGCGCCTTGGCCGGAGGCTCTGCTAATTGCAGCCGGAGGCAGGAGCCGTGTCCAGGCGCCTCCTGCTCCGGCGCATCTGCGAGCGCAGCACTGAGTCACCGCGCGGCGCAGGCAGCCGAAAAGCCACCTGTGGGGACACGGGCTGCTGCGTCCCCCCGCTGTGCGCCCTCGGCTCTCGGGGCTGCTCTGGGGACGGACGGGGCGGCAGCGCGGTGCAGCACGGAGCGAGGGCGCGGGCTCGGCGAGGCTGCAAGCGGCAAAGGGTGGGGAGAGGGAGCCGGTCCAGGGGAGCTCACGCACACATGGAAGCTGTTCCCTCTGACCGTAAATCTGCAAGGCGAGCGTCTGGCATCCCAGCTGCCCCGCGCTCTGGAGCTCGGGTGCTGGTTCGAGCGACGCCTGCAGACCGGGGAGGGATGGAAAAGGCAGGGAGCTGTTTGCCATGGGACTGCAAGCCTAGGGAGAGAGGGCTGGAATTCGGGCGTGCACAAGCGAGAGGCTCTGCCAGGAGATCTCCAGCCAGAGCAGCTCTCTGAAGGTCAGTACAGAGGTGTCCCAGGAATTTCACAGCCAGCCTCGAGAGCAAGCAGCAAAAGCCATAGGTGGGAGCTGCCCAACACAGGCCTAGGAGACTGAGCAGGACATCCCCTCCTCTGCCCTCCCGGGGTGGGAGGAGAGCTCTGCACGCGTCCCCACAGGTGGAAGATCCTGTCATTGCAAGTGGCTACCAGAGTCGCTTTCTGTATCCAAACACGTTCTTTCAATCATGGCTGTCCTGTATCCTGGGACTGCAGCATCCTCTGTGCTCTGCACGGGCACTGCGGACAGCACCACCCAAGGACTGCTCCGAAACTCGCTTTACACATGGGAAAGGAGAGGGATCTAAAGCACCTAACCTCAGCTTGTCACAACAGGTTAAGGGGCCTTTCCTTCTCAGTGCACCATAAAAAAGGATGTCTCTGGACTCTCTCAAACACATCAAAGTGATGCCGCTGCTAGCGGCTCCTGCACCCACCCCCTGGGGCTGAGGAACATGTGCATGACTGGAGCTGGGCTGCTCCTGCACTGGAAACTGGAGCAGAGACACCCTCCAGCATGGAGCAAGCAAAGGCATAAAGGTGCCTTAACCAAGCAGTTAATGCCAGCCCGCTGGGCTCCATCCTGGCCTGTGCAAGCTGGGACAGGGGACCTGCAAGGCTGGGCGCACACTCACCTGAAGTGTGTCCAAAGCGAGGACTCTGCAGGAGCATCCCGTAACATGACGGTGAAAGGAAGCAGAAGAGTGGAAAATGACAGCACAATAAAAGCAAAGTCTCCAAAGCAGAGACCTCAGCAACTTCAGAGAACTGATGGTGAAAACGATGCCAGAGACAAGTCTAAGTGAAAGAGGAACGGGACAGCGCTAGCGGATCCTGTCCTGGATCAAAGCAAGGGCCTGTGGTGTCCAGAAGGCTGGTGCAGACAGAGGTGCATGGCCACTGCTGTGGGGAGAGTGAAAGGAAGAGATGGGGCTCACGAGGTGCGGCTCCTCACATGCCTCCAGATCTGTCATGAGTTCACAGACCTCATCTGGAGAATCCCTGATAGATTCAAGGCAGAGGTTCAATTTTCCCAGTCCAGCTGAAAGCAAGTTTTGTAAGAGACTTCTCACCCAGGTGGCGAGCTCTTCAGGACCTCAACACAAGAAGGACACACACAGAAGATGGAAAACAGGTCCTATCTCTGAGGTGTATATGATCTTCTGAGGACAGACTCAGAAAGCAGCCTCACCAGGGGAAACCAGGCTGGGAAGCGTAGGCAATGCAGGCCTACACACAGCAAAAAATCAAAGCAGCAGGTGATTTTGTCAAGAAGAATATCCAAGCTACCTAACTTGATAACCGTAACCCCCGGATCACGACAGCAGGACGTGAGGAGCAGGACTCTCCAGTATTCGGACTCTCGCAAGAATTTTGTCTTGAACCGTAATCCAATTGCCCAGTAAGGAAATATGATTTGGGTGGAAATATTGTGTGTTGGAGCCCAGCTGGGTGAAAGCCATGCTGGGAAGGCCACCAGCAGCGTGTGGGAAAGAGGGATGGGGCAGGGAGGCACCGCGTTGCCTGGCTGTGCCCCGTGTTGCTCTGGAAGCAACGGAGGTTTTGCTGAGCGGCTCTCCAGTCCAGAGGGTTGCTAATTCTGGGTTTAATGTATCAGCAAATGTTCTCTCTGGGGAAAGGCTCCGTTCAGCTCCGTTTTGTCACGGGACCTTGCACAGGAACCCCAGATTTGGGTCAGCAAGTCTGGAGCTCCCACAGTACAAGAAGCCCATAAAAATCACAGATAATGCTAAAAGCTGCATCAGTCCAACCTTGCTTAAGCAACAGCTAGCAGTGCCTTGAACAGGATGTAAGGACCTCCGCAGGGAGAGAGTTTTGGATACTAAAGATTGCTTTAATCTAGTGGAAAAAGAAAGAGCAAGAACCACTGGTTGGAAGCTGAAGCCAGACAAATTTGAACTGGAAGTAAGGAGTGGGACTGTTAACAGTGCGGATGTTTAGATGTTGGAACAAACTCCATGGGAAGTGGCAGCTTCTCCATCCTTCCAAACTTTCAAAACCAGAATCACTACTTTCCTGGAAGACGCTCTTGCCAAAAACAAGCCATCAGGCCCAAAAGAGGGGATAAAACAGTGAAATCCTCTGTCCTGTTATATACAGGAAGGCAGACTAGCCAGATTAGCCAGCCCTTATCTCGGTAAGGGTTGTTTGGCCTGTGTAAAAATGCAGATTAAGGTGCAGGAATGGAGAAATATAAAGCAGGCTCTTGAAATTCGAGCATGCCTAGGGGACAGAGGCAGAGTGTGGGCAGGTTCAGAACAGGGAACAAGCAAGAATACGAGGAGGACGGTGGGCGGCAGCCCGTCAGCGCTGCCGGTGGCACCGCGGGGACCGTCCCCAGCGCCGCTGCAAGGCGCGGGGCGGGCAGAGGTAGGTGTCCCCGTGGCAGCCGCAGAGGGAGCAGTTGGCCCTGCAGCTCACGCACGCAGGCCCGTGAGGCCACGGGACCTGCTGGAGGCTTCGCTGGCCGCTGGGTCTCACAGTTCAGCCGCCTGCTGCAGCCCCCTGGGCTCCTCTGCACTGGGCTGAGCACCAGTCAGTGTCTGAAGTTCAGCTGCCTCTGCTGCTTATGGCCCCCGGGAGGCTGGAAGGCCTAGGATCTGCTCTCCGAGTTTTCTGGTTATGGCCACGTCCTCTCACATGTGGCTAGTGCGTGGTTGAGCCAGCTCGGGCAGGCCGTAAAGCTGCTTTGCTCCCTCGAGGAGGGACCGTGGGGTTACGCTCCTGCACCCTTTGTAATGGCTCTGGAGACGGGACGGTCTGGTTAATAGGTCTGTCTGAAGGTCTAACAAATCAGCCTCCTTTCCAAAGGCTTGAGTTTCCAGCAGCTCCTGCAATGCATTAAAATGTGCAGAGATAAAATGGGACCCCTTGGGCTTTCCCCGTGTAATGGAAAGCCCTTGGGCCTTCACTGGCTCTATGGCACTCGGTAGATCTGGTTGGCCTGAGCTCTACAAATCAGCTCACTTGAGACAACTGCCCTTCCTGCCCATAAATCAGCTCTGCTGGCCAGGAGACCTCCTGAAGTGCAGAAGTTTCTTTGTTCAGGTGCTCTGAGCCTGCAGCCCTGCCAAAGGCTGTAGTGGCAGCACCGCTTAATGGTTCTGCGAAGTAATTAAAGCAAGAAAGCTCCTTTCGTCCCCCAGGGACTAATAGTGGACCAGATTCCTTTCTGTTATTCCTCCTCTAATGTTACAGCTGTATTACTGGCTCTGGCCTCCCAACAGAAGCCCTCTGCAACTCCAAAATCCAGGTTTTTTCTGAGGCTGGTCAGAGCTGTGCACCCAGCCAGGGAGCACCACTCACCCCTCCAAATGGAGCTTGCTCCACCGGGCCCTCAGCAAAGATGGGCGTCAGGAGCAACTTTCTCCCTAGCTATTTGAGCAGGAGCAAGTCAAGAGGAGCAGTAGCCGCAGGTGCCCAGCTGCCCAGGAGCAATCCCCTGATGTGATTTTAATAGGGATTCACTCATCCCAGAGGTAGGAGCCGTCCTGGAGCATCAGCCCAGCTCGGGGGAAGTGTCCGCGCTTGGTTTTGTTTTCGTCACACTAGGTGTGTGTGTAATTCATCATCCAAATACCCAGTGTCACCAGCTCCTGGTAATTTATTGCAAGTAACATGATTTTGGCCCCTGTTGCAAGCAGTCTTGCGATGACGCGAAAAGCTGCAGCTGTCTTCAGTGCTTTTCTGCAATAAGCTGAATAGCTT